GTCGCCTCTATAAATTAATTTCTAGAGGCGGCTTCTAATTCTAGCCACCTCTAGAATAATCCGATTTTTAGAGATGGCCAGAGAACCGTCTCTGCAAATCATCTTGTAGAGACAGAATAGGAGAGGCGGCTGGCCAACCGCCTCTAAAGAGCCCACCTGTAGTAGTGTACGGACAAGAAATGGATGAAAATACGAATGTGCATGTTCATGTTTTAGCGGATATATGGATTCGATAACATGGATAACTGGTATCTATTTGCACCCCTGCGATGAAACGTGGTATCTTAGTGATTTAATTTAGAAGAGTGTAAGGGACCGTAATGCCTAAGAGAGGGGGCGAATCAGGCAACTTAAAACTCTAACTCTAACTAAGGCCTCTAATTTCACCTAGTCAAAACCTATTCAAAAGATAAACTATCTAAATGTGCAACTACGGTTTTACTAGTGTGTTGCTATCTCTACCGCAAAAAAAAGTTATGCAACCTAGGTTCTAAACCTATTAACTAGCCTATCACTAAGTTAGGAAAGTAAAGCACAAACCAAGATTGCAATGTAAATGCAGAAGCTAAAGAGTAAGGTAGAGATATACAAACTCCCATCAACGACTCTGGTATTTTTACCGAGGTATCGAGAAGCGTGCAAGCTTCCCCCTATTCCTTGTTGGAGCCCCTCGCAAGGGCCAAGCTCCTGGTCGGGTAACTCCGTGGATAGCCCCGGGCCTTCCCCACGTGCAAGTGGGTCTTCGGTGTGCCTTCCGGTAAGCCTCTCCCGGACCACTCCCCGCTGTCTTCACTATCAAGCTTCCGGCTGAACTGCCACGGGGATTGTTCCCTTCGGTACACGGTGGCGGCCACACCACAAACGCGGTTGGTGTGATCTCGCAAGAATATAAGCCCCTCCGATGTACAACAATGGTGTGCGTAAGCACCGAGTGGTAAGAGGTCTGCAAACCTCACTAAACACTAGGCCTAAACCTAGAGCAAGCGCATAAGCAGTGGTCTAACTAACCTAAGCACTTCATAAAGCACCTACGCTAATCACCGAAGGTATCACTAAGCACTATACAAGTGAAGATCACTAAAGTGGTGTATCAACACCCTTGGTATGTTTTCTCAGCTCTTATCATATCAAATGGTCGGTTGGGGGGTCTATTTATAAGCCCCACCGAGAAAGTAGCCATTGGAGGCGAAACCCAGCTTTCTGCTACTGACCGGACGCTGCTGTCATCTAGACCGAACGCGGCCAGTCGTCCCGACTGTTAGAGCGCGCACGTTGATCGGACTCTGGGCTGAGTCCGGTCATCATCGATCGGACGCGTCCGGTCGCGCTGGCGCCTCTCTGAAACATTTCTAGACTCGATCGGACGTCACTGCCTGGCCGTCCGGTCGTCCACAGCCGCTGCGTCCGATCATGCTGAATTATTGTCGCGATGATGGACAGTGAAGTCCGTGCGTCCGGTCACTACCTCGCTTAGCGTCCGGTCGCTGCCGCTGACGCCTACTGTTGCCGAGCAACTGATCGGCCGCGTCCGGTCCTACTAGGGCCGCGTCCGGTCAGCTCTGCCGAGCTCGTTTCTTCGTGATCTTGCGTCCGGCTTGGTTCCCATCTTCGTGCTTGGACTATGCTTGATATCTTGGTTCTTCTCTTGTGCTTCTAAGGTCTTGCTTAAGGTGTTGATCATCGGATCATCATGTCACCTTCGTCCAAGTCACATCTTGCACCCTATTGAACTACAAAACAAATACTTATAAATTCATTAGTCCAATTTTGTTGTGTTGGTTATCAAACACCAAAATCCAAAGTAAATAGGCCTAGGGTCTATTTTCCTTACAAAGAGTTTGGAGGACACTACTAGCAAGTGATCAAGTTGAAGATTAAGGATTTGCTAGTGTTTAGTGAGTAACAAGTGTGCTTCTCTTGATTAGGATCTTGGGGAGGCAAGATTGCTCTTGGTATTTGCTTGTACTTAGACGGCATGGTGTTGGTAATCTTCCATCATCAGCAATTGTTGTAAGGTCCATGTGCTTAGTGCTTACTTTGAGACTTGCCAATTTGGAGATGGGGAAGATGTACCCTTAGTGAAACTTGATTCTTGAAACATGGTGGCTCCAAGGAGCTTAACCTTACTCCAATGTGGACTAGGGTGCTCGGTAGCACTTTGGTATCACGGAAAAAAATCTGGTTGTCTTTTGCCCTTTTAATTACTTCTTGCACTCTACTTGTTGCTGTTGCTTTATTATGTGTGTTTTTTTGCTTGAAGTATTTGAGTGATAACCTAGGATCTAACTCATGCTAGTGTGCTCTCTAGTTGATAGGCTAGTACTCGTGCCAATGGTAATGAGCAAGCAATTTATGTTGCATTTAATAGGGCCTGGCCCATTTTAAATCAAACAAATTTCAAGCCCCTTAATAAATGCTACTGTAATAAAGGATTAACCATGTATGAAAAACCAAGAGGAAATTGATAGGACTTAAATAGATGACTATTATGTACATCTATTGTGAATTTAAGAAAGATGGAAGGAGAGTCACATGCTTGCATGCCATGACTTGAACATGCTCGGGTGGCTAGGTCATGACATGAGTCATGTGGTGCTAACGAAGGTTTTGCAGCTCTAAACTTAAAGCAAGAAAGATGAGAGCAAGAGATGATGAACCGAGTGATGGAAGAAGAGTGAGGGATGGATAGACAAAGAGGCTAGAGAGTGAGACATGGAAGAAAGAAACTTACCACTTTTAATATTAGATATAGGTAACATGCTCGTAAGTGTACAACATGTTGTGTGGTCATATATAGCTAAACTATCTTGTTGGATTTAATTGGTTTTGATCTAGCATTATTTTAATTAATTGCTAAGACCCATAATAAATGTTAGCTACAATAAAGGATTAATTAATCTCGTATAAGGAATTGACTTGAGATTGACTTGGCTAAAATAGGTGGATATTTGTCTACATAAGCTTAGACGTTAGAAAAGGGTGGAATGCTATTCACATGTGCGCGTGCCAAAGTCACCACATGAGTGTGTGGCGCCAGTGAAGCTTTTGCAACTCCAGACTAAGTAAGAGATGGCAAACCATGGACAAAAGAAGGGTGGTGTCAATAAGGGATGATGAACCAAACGACGGAGAAAATATTATGTATAAATAATAAACAAGCTCGGCGTTGCAATAGAATTTGCATCTTGCGTTATCCGTTCTAATACATTTTAAAATCTAATTCTGCACCATGGTTGATCATGCGCTATTCTAACTCAACATGGGTCATGAGTTCGGGTTATGGATGGTCAATAAGCCAATTAGTATACTACTGATATTAATAAAACCGGCTAGGAATCTTATGCTCCAAAGAGTAGAGGGACATAGAGAAAGAGAAAGAGTGTGATCGACCTAAATCTGAAGGAACAAAATTTTGGTTTTCTAATATTATTATTTGGTACAGAAAGAGAAAGGCCGTCGTCCTCCATCGAATTCCGATCCGATTGGCAGGAAGAAGGAACGTCACGGCCGCAGTGACGTGCCTCTAGAACGACGAAGAGTAGACAGCTTCCTGTTTTTCACGGTGCGTCCAAATTAAACGAAGGGAGGAGAATCTTTTGGAGTACCTTTTTTTCTTTTCTTTCCATCGCAACCAGCCAATAAGCAGGGCACGTGCGCGGACTGCCGGTGCTAACAAGGGGAAAAATTTTCCAAACAGATACTCTACCCGGCCGCTACTCTCCCTTCTCATCTCTTTCGTTTCTCGACCTCCTTGTTTTCACCTCACTTCCTTCTTTCCCCGTTAATCTATTAGTCCTTATAGTTCCTGGGCGATGCACGCAGCACTGCAGCAGCTAGCTCGGTAGCTTCATCCGGGAAGAAGAGAAGGTTCTGCCGGGGGAGAAGCATGGCGTCGGCGGGTCATATAGCTAGCAGCCATCACCGTCGGCTGTTGGACACGGGCCCAGGGAAAGGAGCGGGCAACAGCTCGAGCCCAAGCCCGGACGCAACACGGATAATGGTGGGCGTGCTGGTAACGGTCATCTGCTGCACGCTGCTCTACTGCATCTACTGCTGGAGATGGCGGAAGCGCAACGGTGAGCAAAGCTAGGCCCACAGATGATCAGCTCAGCTGATTTAATTTCCGAAAGATGAAAGTGTTCAATGTCTTGCCAGCCTTGTTGCATGCATGTATCCCTGTGCACTAATAATAAGAGCACATATATTTCGCTCTGTACGTATATATATTTGAATCAGCCATCAGGAGGTCGCTGATTCAGAGGCTCGGGCCACGGTCGAGCTCGGACTTGCCGCTCATTGACCTCGCCTCCATCCTCGCGGCCACCGAGAATTTCGCCGAGGCCAAAAAGCTCGGCGAGGGAGGGTTTGGCCCAGTCTACAGAGTCAGTAATCATCGATCAACTGTGGTCATCGACCAGCAATTTCTCTTGCCATGCATGTTGTCATAGTCATTTCCTAGTCTCATCAGCTCGTGTCTGCATATATACTATATATGAATAGGGCGTGCTGAGCAGCGGCTCGGAGATCGCCGTAAAGCGGCTGTCGGCGCGGTCACGGCAGGGCGCGGCGGAGTTCCGGAACGAGGTGGAGCTGATCGCCAAGCTGCAGCACCGCAACCTGGTGCGGCTGCTGGGCTGGTGCGCCGAGCGCGACGAGAAGCTGCTGGTGTACGAGTACCTCCCCAACCGCAGCCTCGACGCCTTCCTCTTCGGTGCGGTAACCAAGTCCAAGAAGTGCATGCACCTCTCTGCTTCCAATTTCCATTCCAGCGCCATACAGTTGTTGCGCATGAGGTGATTTGGATGGTTCGCATGCATGATGCAGATCCGAGAAAGAGCGTGCAGTTGGGCTGGAGCACACGCCACAACGTCATCCTTGGCATCGCTCGTGGCCTCCTGTACCTCCACGAGGACTCGCTGCTCAAGGTCGTCCACCGGGACCTCAAGGCCAGCAATGTGCTCCTTGACGACAAGATGAACCCCAAGATCTCCGACTTTGGCATGGCCAAGATCTTCGAGGAGGAGTCAGGTGGTGGCATCAACATGGGATGCGTCGTTGGAACCTAGTAAGCTCGTGCCCACCCATTGAAATTCATGATGGACTGTTCTCAGTTGGGAACAACTTTGATATATCACGTCAATGTTTGGATTAACAATAATGCATGCAATTCGATCAGTGGGTACATGGCGCCCGAGCTCGCGTTGGAGGGCGTATTCTCAGTGAAGTCTGACGTCTTTAGCTTCGGAGTGCTCCTCCTAGAGATCCTAAGCGGGCAGCGGAATGGTGCACTATACCTTGAGGGGCACGACCAGTCACTCATCCGAGGCGTGCGTGTATATCGATCACCTGATCATTTGTTAGGCGTACTAGCATTTCCATTCATAAAGATGGTTGTCCTCTAGTCTAATCTAATCTAAATATAACAAAGTTGCATTGGACGACTGAATTTTTGACAGGCATGGGAGCTGTGGATCCAAGACGATGCGGCCGAGTTCATGGACCCATCTCTTGGCCGATCCTACTCAAGGGACGAGGCGTGGCGGTGCTACCATGTCGGCTTGCTCTGCGTGCAGGGAAACCCCGACGTCCGTCCCACCATGTCCAGTGTCCTCCACATGCTCATCAGCGACCATACGGAGCTCCCAGCACCAGACAGGCCACCGTTGTTCACAAGGCACAATAGCTTACCATTCCCGGCAATGCCACTGTCAGTCAGGACAGAGTCAAGGGTGTCTCCTCCTCATTCCATCAATGATGTCACCATCACTACAATCCAACCGCGATAAGGGGTTACAATAATTAGGTAATAACAGTCGTCGGATCATTCCAACAAGAAAAGTCAGCTCTCATGGCGGCGATTATTGAAAGAGGCCCCATAGAGATTTGTAAATGATGCCAAACCTCATAGAGAATTTATGTGCAATTTTGAATTGAATTTGTGCAAAGATACTAGTACGAAATCATGTGGTGGCCGAGCACCAGGAGTACCTTCCTTGCTCCATCCTAAATATAAGACAATGAAATTTTTTAAATTTGTCTAAAATGATAAGTGACTTTCGATGAATTAACTCCCCTAGACATACAGTCGCTTGTATTATATACATGCTATTAATATCTGTGGTTAAATCAACCGCCAAGCTTAAAATTAACACGATAAGTATAATACTATCCTATAACTATAAAGGAAGATTACATATAACATTTAATTTACCAAATAATATGTCCAATAATTTCTATAATATATTGTGGTAATGATTGGATACTAGCTATATATTCTTATGTGCTAGGGTGCTCAGAGCTAGACACACTATCATGATAGGAAGCTACTCAAGACGAAGGTGAAAAGTGGCAAAGCGTGTTAGCCAAGCTTGAATGTTTCAAGAAAGGTTATATTTGGAGAGTTGGGGATGGCACACAAATAAACATCCAGGAGGATCATTGGATACTAGGGAGTCACAACCTGAAAATTCAAACGCCTAGAGGCAACAATATAATCACAACTGTTGATGAGCTTATCCATCCTGTTGATTTAACAAGGGATGCGGAGTTGGTGAAATCTATTTTTTGGGTAGTCGATGCAAACAGGATTTCAATCACCTCGGGGAGGGAGGACTTTGTAGCTAGGCATTATAACAGAAATGGGTTGTTTTTGGTACGCTCAGCATACCATTGTCAATGGGAAGAAAAATTGTTTGTGTTCAAGTCTACCGCCCTTCTATTTTATATGGCATATGCAGGGTTTTTTCAAGGAACCTGGAATAGTTAGGAATCCTAATCAAATAGATTTCTCTTATCATTCAATAGCCTGAGTAGGAAAAAGACATGAGTAGAAATTATTATTATACTCTAATATTAAACCACAGATAGTTTTATTCTGAATATTAAACCATGATAGTTTTTATCTCTTTTTTCCATTTTTCTTTTGTGGCCATGTTTCATCGGGGGCACATGACGAGTCGACTCCAACTCCGTTTTCCTCTGATGTATTTTATGTTTCCTCAGTTTCTTATTTTCCATGTCCACTTCGGATGGTTTTTTTATCCACCTTTTTCCGTGTCTGGTGGAGTTTTTGGTTGCTTCGTTTTATGTTTTCCATGTGACCATGTCCGCTTCCGATTTTTCTTCTCCTTTTTCTGTGTCCGATGAAGTTTCTTTTCTCTGTTCCTCCGTTTCCTGTTTTTCATCAGATTTCAATACTATTTTCTATATTCTTTCTTCGATACCGATTCCGGCACTCGGTTCCATTGTCCATTTTTTCTGGCATCGGAGTTCAACTCGCCACTACGTTCCGGTTGTTTTTTGTGCAGTTTTTTTCCTTTTTTTGTTTTCATGTACCCGTTCATTTTTATATAAATGACAAAACAAATCATAAATGCTAAATTTTGGGTTAACAAATAATTGTAATCTTATGCGTCTTTGAACTATTGTCCCTTCGCTAAGAAATAAATTTTCTCACTACTAAGTTGTTGATGGAGTTTTTTTTTCTTTTGAACTTACTGTTGATGGAGTTTTCATTAGGAACTAACTAATTATTCAGTCCAATGTATAACTAATATCAAAGAGACCAAATTTTCATGGCCTCTTGCATTCAGCCTTTTGGATCGGTGATCTCGGCTTTTGTTTTTGGTTAGACTCAGCTCGGCTGTTTTTTCTCAACACTCCAAACTCTACACCCAACGGCTTCACATGGTTTTTGTTCCATATTTTTTCTTTTTCCGTTTTCGGTCTTGACGCCACTAAATTGTAACACCTCTGGTGTTTTGACCTAATACTAAAATTTGACATGTCATCATGTGCATTGCAAAGCATTCATTTAGTATAAAGTTTTGAATGCATTTACTAAATAAGGTTTATTTCATAATGTTGTTATTTCATGTGATGTGTTTCAAAAACCCTAAATACAGATCATGACCACAGGGGTTAAATTTCATGTGATCATGTGAGGTCATATGTTCTTTGACTCAAATAACCCTAATGGGCCATGTTACTGGTCAAAAATCAAAGTCTAAGTAAAAGGAAGACAAATCAAATTTGAATTCATTTTCAAATTATAAAAGTTCTTTTTGCCCCTTTTGGCTAATTAAAAATCCATGAGGAATTTGGGGTTGAGGCAAAAAGCAAAGTTGGAGATTATTTTATGTAGATCAACTTTGGTATTCAAAGTTTTTCAAGTTTACATATAAAATTTGGAGTAATTTTGAAATGATTCAAATCTTTAAATGTACCCCAAATTTGAATTTCAAAATGGAGGCAGAATTTGAAAATGTTTCTTAAACCAAAGTTGTAGTACTTGAAAAGTTGAGCAACTTTTATTTTGGAGATTTTCAACTTCTTTAGAAAATTTCTGAGTAATTTGTGAAATAAATGCAGTGGCGATTCTGTAATTATTTCAAAAATTCAACTCCACCTCACTTTGCTTGCACGCTTGCCATACGCTGAGTTCACCGCCGATCGGTTTTCACCGCTTTCACGCTACCGTGACACGCCCAAACCTCCGTGGCAAGTTCGCCTGTGTTGTCAACACCGCACGCCTCCTTCTTGCTATAAATAGGAGCACGCCGTCGTCAAATCGAGTTTTCAAATCATTTGCTTTCGCCGCCACGCCTGCCCCCGCCTGCGACTCGCGTAATTAAATACGCCGTGTCGTGGCGTCCCGAGTCGATGGCGTCCGCCAAGAGCTCCGCCTCGTCTTCCTGCTCATTCCAAGCCTGATCGGGTCGCTCCTGAAGTCCAGTCTCGCCAGCCGACGCCGTCGTTCCCCGAGCCCGGCCGGAACTCCGCCATCTTCGGTCTCACGTGGTCCCGACGATTCGGTGCATCTCCGCCTTCACCAAGCCCACAGACGTGATCGTGGTGAGACAATCAACGCGATGCTTGCTCTTATTTAGACTCTCATCGCACCGTAGCTGTAGCTACGTCGATCGCTGTCGTGTCCAAGCCGCCATGGCCGACGTGGACCTCCTCCGGTCGCGCTTCTTTGCCGCTTACGTGGTTGGAAATGAGTTCGTAGGATAGAGTAGATCACTTTGGTGCTATCGGTTTAGCGAAACATCACCGACGGCGCATTTTTGGCGGCCGTGAGAGGGCAGCGCCGCCGTGATTTCGTTAGAAGTCATTGACAATGAGCCCAGTTGTCGATGAAGTTTGAGGAAGAAGAACGATGAGCTTTGGTTATTTTCTCGATTTTTGAATAGTGCAACAATTTTGCAATTTTGTAGGAATTTATTTACACATCCAAAAATTCTGAAAATTTTTGTGTAGCTTCTGTACATGTTCTAGTGTGATTTAAAAATTTGAAATTTGAAATTTGGATAAATTTTGAATGTTCAAATATTCAGTCAATTAATTAATAAATGCAATTTCCATGATTTTTTGTAGGCCACTGTATAACTCCAAAAATTATGAAATTTATTTTGGTACACTAATTTATCATGAGGATGCTTGTCTAAATTTTTGAGATCATTTGGAACAAGTTTATTTTTGGGCTTAATTCCAAATTAATTCAAAAATAGATAAAAGCAAACCCTAAGTGTTTGATTAGTGTTGGATCTTGTTTTGGTCATGTTTTATGACTAGTAGGGTTCCAAGATCCATTAGGTCAAGTCACATGTGTAGTTCTTAATGATAGGGTTACAGGTTGGTTTTGTTGGCTTGCAAATCTGCATGCGAAATCAAATCGTTTATGGGTGTTTTTATATTTCATGTGCCGTGAAAGCATCATGTTTATCTTATCATCATGTTAAAGCATATGTTATCATTTCGTGTGTAGAACCCAAGAACGAAACGATTCTAGTTGAGCAAGTTCTCGAAGAATCCCCGGTTGTCACGGGATTTGATAATTGTGGTACTAATCCGGACCGGAGATCGTCAACGAAAAGCAAGCCCTTGTTTATGCATTAAGCCATTACCTTGTTTACTTTGAAAAGTTATCACCTATATTATTTATTGCATTAAGTTGTTTAATTCAAATGTTACCTACTTGATGCATTACCTACCTTGATAATTGTTTACCATCCTTGAAGATGTTTTTGTTTATAAAGGCGTAGTGTGCTTAGTATGCTTTATGGTAGGCTTTCAAAGTAAAAGTTTCGATACAATCAAAGATGGCATACTTGGCCAAAGAAAGAAAAGATGTAGAATGAATTAGAGACTAGTCGGGTGACTTATCTTGAATTGTGGGTAATGTTGCCGACTATGTCGCTTAAAGGCCACTCATTGTGGATCTTTTGAACGAGACACTTTGTAGTCTTGGTCACATACTCCCAGGTAAGCCTACTTGGCTAATCCGATGCTAAGACGAATGCCCGCCAAGACCGGGGGAGTGGAGAGATGGCGGAGTAGCGTGTACCCTCGTGGTTGGAATGTGGCGGATTTGAGGTGTCTTTGTGCTCTCGGGTGGCGTGGAGACGGCTTAGTATAGGAGGATCCGTAGCGAGGTTGATATATGCAAGATTAAATTCTACATATGTCGTGTGATAAGGAATCCCCAGCTGGGACTTGAATCAATTCGAATTGCCGGTGCTCCTCGGATATGGAGACTCGATTCATTACAGAAGCAATGCAGTACTGGTGAATTACTAAAATATGAGAAAAAGAACGGAATGAGAAGGAATGGAATATGGGAAATGTATATTTAGTTGAGATAATGAACTAAAAGAACTTAGTGGTAAACTTGAAAATAGAATGAAGAATAGTAAGCTTTTGGCTAAGAACTTTTGAATCTTGCTTCATCCTTACCTTGTCCCAAATCCCTGCATCTCGAAAGTCTTACACCCCGTTACGTCGG